CCCCGGGAGACGGGCCGCCCCCCGCCCCTGCGACACGGGCGCTCCTCCGCCCCAGGATGGTCCCAGGGGAGTGGGAGATGGAAAGGGTCGCTTCCTTTCTGTATCCATCTTAGCTCTGGAAATGACCGTGCCTAGTTTTGCCCTCTGCAAATAGGCTATGTTATTCTACGTTACTGCTTTTCACGTGCCTTCTATTTTGATACTTCATGTTACTTGCTCAAGGGATGACAGCAAAGTTTACTTCAGCCTGCAGCAACTTCTCAAATAACCTGGTTCCAGCTACTTCAGTATGCACACAGGTGTATTCTATCTCACTTAGCTAAAACTACCTGCCCCACACCAAAGCAGTCTGTCACTTCCACTCTTCCAGTAACACTAGAGTTGAAAAGGAAATGGATTAAAGAATACACCCTTAGAACTGAGCATTCCCTTCTTCCACTTACTGTGACAAAAACAGAAACATGCAAGATGAAAAACTAAGCAAAATATGTGGGATAGAACAAAAAAAAAAAATCACAGGTACAGGAGTACCTGTTCAAGAAAAGCCTCCTTATCTAGAAACACCGAGAATTCTCACCTGAAATCAGCCTACTACAGATGGACTCGCAATCAGTGACAGTATCTTCACAATTGATGTTCTACACTGTTCGTTAATCCTGGCAGCTGAGTGGCTGTCAGCGTAACATGACTCCATAAGTAGACAGGTTCCTGTCATGGTGAAAATGATCCGGTTTCTCCCTATCTATTCACATAAAGCATTGCCACTGTGTTGCCTCTCATCACCTGTCTTGCGTTGCTGTGGGTCAGGGGCAGAACCGATCACAAACTAAGCAAATTGCTTTGAGCTCAAAAATATTCTGGTAAGATCAAACTCATTTCTTGACTACCACCAAACCAAAATGTTGCCTTAGGTGTTCTCACCCTCCAAGGATGGAAGCAGGTATCCTCTTGTCTTTATAGGCAGGTAAAGACAGAAGCAGAATATCTCTGCAAGTGTGCTGGCAATTCTTCAGCTCACTTAATGCTGACAAAATGTCACAGAGAAGTGAAGTGTCACAGAGAAGTCGTCACCGGTATGAACACTTTTAGGTATTTGCTTGGAAAAAGATGGAATTTGGCTTTCAGCTGCCAGCTAGGTATGCAAGGGAGTGCTGTATTGATCTACCCAGCCTTTAAAATTACTTAGAACACTATCACAATCTCATGTGACGTGACCAAGTTTGGTTTTGTGCACTTCAGAAATGTCTTCAAAAACCCTGTCTTTGGGGATGGTTTGAAAGACGGTGTTTGTTTAATTGTCCTGAGCCCCAGTTAAATGAAGGTATAAGAAGGGTATAGGAGCTTGCCCATAATCTGATCAAGAACAGAACCCCAAATAAGCCTGTTGCGTCAGCTTGATTCCTCAAGAACTTTGCTGTTACCAGAAGGCAGATGGTGAAGGCTTTTGTTGCAATTGACAACTCTAATGAAAAAATCCATACTGGAAATATCATAACCCTAGTAAGCATTCTAGGCATGTCCTGGGAACTGAATGCATGGAGATACCCGTACAGAGGGTTGAAAGGTGCAAAGCAGTCTCATGGATCTAAGGTAAATTTACTGAAACTAGATTTCTCACTCTCACCTTGCACATGCATTAAAAGCTACGCTGAAAGCTTCCGCAAGTTAAATAAGAATTTATACCAAAAACCCTCTCAGGGTAGAGAGGCAGATTGGCTGGCAGATTGGTTCAAGCAGTTGCTTGAAGCAACAAGCAGCTTTTTGGGGTTAATAAATAAAAGGAGGAAAGCAAGAAGGAACACTGGCTCCTCCCTTCCCTTTTCTGTTCTATGTAGGGAGGAAAGACAAAACTGTAGGCCAAGGGTCCATCTCCCATGAAATATTTATACATATCAAAGAGAGTTTGTAAACTTATTAAATTCAAAGACAACAAAGAAACATTTTGCATTCCAATTGGACAGGGTAACCCGTGCTCTTCAAGCAAAGGAATGGAATTCCTAATAATATAGATTTTGATTGAAATTCTGTCAAAAGAAAGCATGCTGCAATAGTAACGGAATAAGCATTCTACAGCATGGTTGGAATTCCAGCAGTTGAAGCTGTTACAGTTGGGGGGCAGGGGAGAAAATCCAGATACAGCTCTACAAAATGTGTGCTACTAAAATATATGTAAAGCTGATTTGGGTCCACGTGACCTTAGAAAGAGAACTGAACTTTCCAGGTATATACTAAAATTGAACACTTGGCTAAACAGAGACAGAGATAAGAGCAAGAGCGCTGTGATTTGTTTAGCTGAACCTAAGCAGAAAACAAATCCTGTGGGTACTGAACTTTGTAATCCAAAAATAAATGGTGAGGTATGATTGGCATCATTACAACTTTTCAAGGTGGTAACAAAATACTACTAAAATGTCAACCTTGCACGGATACAAACATCCAAAGCAACGAAAAATCATTTCTCTTGCAGTTTTCACTCCCTCATGGTAAGTTTATAGTAATTGTGGATATGAGCCTGACAGTCACAAACATGTTCACAGGGTTTGAGGTATACCTAAGTCGCCATTAAGAGTTTGACTGCAGCATTTGCAGACATACCCAAGCTAGCTTTAATCTGGCTAACATGGGTAGCCACAGCAGAACAGCAATATCCATACACGGTTACTTAAATGTTGTGCTATACTTCTGAGGACCCTGGACTTCGAAGAGCTAGTGTACAGAATTACAGCTTCTTCTCAAGAGATGTATGGAGTTTACACGGATATGCCATTTTGGTAGAATATCCTCTAAAGCATAGAAACCACACATCCACTTTCCATTAATGTTAGGGCAGTAAAACTCCATTTTCTTTCATGGAAACAGTATTTGGGTTGCACGTTTAGTTTACTTTTCCGTTTCATTGTTGCTGGCATTATGGGATAATAAAACGAGTTTACAGTTCAATAATGGCATGTATTTACTATTGATCAAAATTACTGCTAAAGAGATTTTTGTTAATCGTTAAAGTGATATGACAAATTATATTTCTAATAGGCACACACACTAAAATAACAGCAGTGGAGTAACTGAAGGAGAAATAGTTTAAAAGGAGCAGCCTCTATATAAAGTGCAAATTTTTACTACACAAATGTGCTGACATTAATCATTGCAAATCGTTTGAGAACATTTTATATATTCCAATTCATAAACTTAGATTTATTATTAAGTCTATTGCAGTCATAAAATAAATAGTTGACAATTTATGAACCCTGTATTTTTTACTTTTTCTAAGTTTGCCTTTTTTCTTTTTATAATACATATTTTTTCTTTTTATAATATATATACTTTCATATATATATTCTGAAGTTAAACGTTACATATACATGGTAATGGTGCTGGTTTTACCTCCACCCCCAAAAAAACCAACAGAAAGTTTGGGGACAAAAAAATTAATAATTACTCGGGAATTATGCATATGCTTAAAGAGAAGAAAGAGGCTGGGGGACATTTAAATTAGAAATAGGGCTAAAATCACCAATGTTCAGGTATAAAGAAAGTTCATTTTACTAGTTTAGTTCCTGATTATCTTGCCTTGCTTTATTCCGTTGTTCAAGGCATAGTTGTTTTAGCTTGGCTACATATCTTTGGCTCTCAAAATGCGAAGTTTCATAGAGAGGGAGAGATGTTTGTTTCCCCTTGTAGGATGCCACTGAACAAGCCTCCAGGTTGCTTTTTCTCAGCAAGGCTTCTTTATAGTGCAGCATTTTGCTTTCCCACAGTACTGCAACAATAACAGCAACCATATGTACATAGACTGTATCCCACAGAGCCCTGTAATTCCCTTTTTATAAATGCAGCATTTACACAGAGGTTAAATAATTTGAACAAGAGGAGATTCATTACCAGTCTGTGTAAAGAAGACATGGAATATAAGTGCAGGCCTGCTCATGATTCTGAAGAAGTTTTTGGACAAAATCTTGAAAACAGAAGCATTTAAATGTAAACATTTAAATATCATTCTCTACCATAAGCATTTCATGACCTCTAAGACATTCTGCTCTTGGTACCAACAGGCAAAAAGGTCTCTGTCACAGTCAGTGTGATCTGTCTAGAGTTTTTAAAAAAAGTCAGTAAGTTATCAATAACTACTTCAGTCACTTACTACCTTACAGCCATTATAGATATTAGCTGCATTAATCCATCAAGTCTCCTTGCCCAGATCCCCAGCCTCTTTGGGGGTTTCTCATCAGCCTCACAGCCCCACTCAAATCCTTCTCTCCTACCACCTCTCATGCTTCTGCCTTCCTATGGCACAAAGCTATTTATAAAGAGAAA